AGTTTATAACGTGTTGAGCATTTCTATCTACAATTATTCTTTTGCCTGCCTATATTTTAATGCTCCTTCAGCATTCAACATGTTATCCTTAGTGGCTGTTGTATATTTCATACCTGGATCTAATGGTGTGAGATGCTCCTTTAGCATCATCTTGCATATTGGTTGTTTCCAAGAGTTCACTGGCATAGACACTTTGGTCAAGAGTCGCACAGCTATCTTCCCTTCTGCTTATCCTAATTGAAAGAAGGTGATGTATTTCTCCCAAGTCCTTGATTTTAAATGTAGCTGCAATATTATCCTTAAATTCCTGAATGATGAATTCTTTGCTGGACATTACAAGATCATCCACATACACACCTACAATTAATTCCTTTTCTTTATTGAAGTAAACACAAGGATCTGCTCTGGATCTTGTTAGGCTCGTTGATTTCAGAAATTTATCGAGGCACATATTCCATTCTCTCCCAGACTGATGAAGTCCATAAAGGCTTCTTTTTAGCAAGCAAACTTCTCTGTGTGTTTTCTCATGCAGACTCACGGGTGGCTGTTCCATGAAAATTGTCTCACTCAGTCTTCCATTTAAATAGGCTGCAGTAATATCGAGTTGATGAACCTGCCAGTCTTGCTCAACTGAGAATGCTAATAAAGTTCTAATTGATTTTGTTTTTATTACAGGAGAAAATGTCTCTTTGTAGTCAATTCCTTCGACTTGGGTGTAGCCACGAGCCACTAAACCACTAAAAAGAATAATAAATAAAAGTATAATAAATAATAAATAAAGATATAAAGCTTTATATCTTTCCACTTGTCCATCTTTGTTAAGTTTTCTCTTGAAGACCCACTTACATTTCACAACTTTCCTTCCCTCTGGCCTAGGCACTATGTCCCAAGTTTCATTTCGTTTCAAATTTTCCAACTCTTCTTCCATGGCTAACTTCCATTTTTCTGCATCTGGACTAGTTAATGCCTCTTCTAAAGTTTCAGGATCATTCTGGAAAGCTTTCTTGGGTGTTTAGCCTTCATATTTCTGTTTCTCAGATTGTCAGCTGCACTGCATTCCACTTGTAATTCCATTTATTTCTGGAGGATTTTCTTCATAAATCTCTGAATTTTCCACGATATAATCCTTTGTCCACTTAGGCGCTGAAATTTGTCTTCTGGGTCGAGTCTCCTTTTCTGGTATATCCTCCACCTCCTTCTTTTCCTGTTGAGGGCCTTCGTCTATTACTTTATTTTCCACTTCATCATCTTGAGATGAATTTCTTCCAGAAACTTTTTGTGGGTGCAATGTTATAGTGTTTCCAGTCATGGAAGGTTTCTCTTCAAATATGACATCTCGGGAACAGATTACTGTACTGGTTTCTTTGATGTAAATGTGGTACCTTTCATCTCCATCATACCCAAGGAGATAGCCCTTTAGTTGCCCTTTTGTCCACCTTTCTCCTCTTCTGAACTGGGATATGAGTATAGCAAGTCGATCCAATGATGCGCATGTGCTTTATTCCGAGTTTCTTTCCCATCCATAATTCATAAGGGCTTGAATTAGGAACCGAAGACTTGCCTGTCCTATTCAATATATAGATTGAAGTACTGACGAACTCTGCCCATAGGAAAGCTGGAAAGTCCACTTCCTCATTCGAGTATTTGAGAGTTCTGGCTATTTCTAGGACTGTTCTGTTCTCTCGTTCAGCACTGCCATTTTGTTCTGGTGTATATGGAGCTGTGAGGCTCTGGGAGATTCCATGCTTGTTCAAGATCTTGCGAACGGCTTGGTTGTCAAATTCTCCACCATTGTCATTGAGTATTTCTTTAACCGTATGCCCTAAGTTCTTAGCGTGAGTTATGAAATTTTCAAGCACATCTTTTACTTCTGATTTGTGCTTTAAGAAAAAAACACTATCGAAATTTGGTGTAGGCATCTTTGAAGATTGCAAAGTAACAGTATTTCCTAAATGACTGATCAAATGGCCCTTCCTGGTTCCAAACTTTAAACGGTGGGATTTTCCGTATACACAAGCTTCACATAATTTCATATCAGACTTAATCTTAATATTCAACTCTTTCTCTACAATGGCCTTTACATGCTTTTTATCTTGGTGACTCCATCGTTCATGGTAAAGTTGGAGAGTTGATTCATTATTCTCGGTCATGTTGATGTCAATTCAGGAACTAAGGTCTTCATCACGGCTTTGAAGAGACCCCCACCAGCATTTCTTGTTCCATGCAGAACTATTTCACCATCTATTTTTAAATAGCAGTCCTTAAATGTTGATTCAAACACACTGTTTTGATTTCTATCTTGAGATGCTAACACAGAAAATAGATTTTTACTTATTTCTGGAACATACCAGACATTTTCAAGATTTTTGATTTGATTCATCCCATTTACAATGGTCATTATCTTGATGGTGCCTTTTCCAATTGCTGGTAATGACTTTCCATTTGCCACAGTGATGCTATGAGGAAGCTTAAATCTTTTGAAGTCTATAAAGTAGTGCCTGTTATTGATGACATGCTTCGGGGCCCCATTATCAATATACCAATCATCAGAATTCGTTTCTGCAGAAAATATTGTATCATCTACAGCTAGAAGTGTCATATTTGCAGCAACACTGTTTTTACTTCCCTTGTTTAGCCCTATATGTGGACTGGGTTTCGGCGGTTTTCCATCAGCTGTCCATTTCTTGCATGTTCTGACCCAATGTCCTCTCTGGTGGCAATAATTACACTTGCCATTGTTTTTCTTGTTAATAGATGATTTCCGCTTAAATTCCGAATTTGCTATCAATGCTTCCTGATCTAAAGTTTCTAAAAAATTTGGATCTTTCCTTAATTCTCTTTCATGGGTGCACAATTGTGTGGTTAATTCATCTAAAGTTCTCTTTTCATCACTAAGAAGAAGAAGTAACCAACTCGATTTGAAAGTACTATAAGGAAGAGTATCCAATATTTTACAAATCAACAGCGTTTCTGGCAGTCTGTTTTCTTCCTTATTTTCAAGCCTACTGTTCAGTTCATTCCATAGATTTTTCAATTTTGACAAATGAGCTGCCATATCATCATTTGACCAACTGAATTTGAAGAACTGTAAACATATGTTATAAAGTTGGTTATCGGACGAATCTTCGAATACTTTGTGAAGTTCCAGCCAAATGTCTCTTGCGCTGTCAAATCTCGTTACCTTTTGTAAAGTGTTTTCAATCATGGAGTTCGTAAGAACCATCATAGCGCAATTATTTGCTTTATTAAAAACCTTCATATCATCTCTAAATCTCTTTCGAATCTCTTCGGCGGCCGCATGATCAGGTTCCTCTGGCTTCTTCAGTTTTCCTTCCACGACTTCTAAAGCGTTTTCGTGATAATTTAATACGAACTTAACTCTATATTTCCAAATAGGCCAATCACTTTTTCCGCATAACGGCTGAACCAATATCTTTGCAGCTTCCATTTTTGCGAACTAATTTGCCGACTCACGTAAGGCTTAAGAACTGCCGTGTTAGGCTTACGAACTGCCGGTAATGTTTATCTCCACTTCACTCATAAATTTCCTCGCACAGTTATATCATGCTGGGCCCATAACCTGATGAAGTCTAACGTTAGGAATGGAAATAAATAAATAAGCAGAGATTCATCTAAATTAACATATATTGAAACACAAAATGGCACAAGTACAGTAAATTCTACATGCTAAAGTAAAACAGTGACAACAACTAAAAAAACCGTAAAATATAAAAAGCGTGTTGCCACACATGTTGTAAAATACAAATGGGAAATATAATCACAAATAAAAGTTATTTGCAACAAAGAAATCCAGTTTTTGCTGTGGTTCTGTTATCCACATAAATTCTTCAGCAGCATCGTAAACAACTTTTGGTTTGTGCATTAGCACTGAAGGTGTAATGAATAAGTTTCCTCAGGCGCAGTTTTCATTAAAGAATCATAGTCAAAAAAATTAGCTACGAAATCTTTATTTAATAATCTTCACAGACATTAAAACACTGAATTATTGAAAAGGAGATAACTTACATACAAATGTAAGTCATCCATCTTCAAGCATACCTATTTAGGCAATAAGAAAAAACAGGAACATACTTTGACACCGTACCTGAAAGAGAAAGTACTAAGTGAATTAGACCTTTGGCCGTGATATAAGTAGCTAGGGTGAAAATCGAATACACTGCACGTAGCTAAGGTGAAAGTCAAATATACTGCATTGCAGGCGAACTTTACTTTCTCTCTCCAATATATATCTTGGTGCACGTTCATTTCGTATGCCTTTCGAGTTTCATTATGCAAAATACCTAAATTTATGCTAACAACTAATGTGGATCCTTTCTTTGTAGCATTTATAACATTTTCTACAGAAGTAAGCTTATGTTTAAAGCAGCTTTCTGCTTGTTCAAAATAGTAAGAGTCTTTCTTCTGTGTTTTGAGGGAAGACCAAATGTTACAAATTAAGAGGAATACAATGCTACTAATAGCTAGAAAACTAAGAATTATTTATTTTATAAGAATTCAAGCTACAAAGCAGGCGCTAATTGAAGCTAGTAGAATAATAATAATAAAAACACAGGTGACCGTTACATCTTTAGAATTTATACTGTCATTACCAAATTTGAAAACAATCTTTTGCTTTTTATTTTAAAATAAGCAGCATAGTGATCCCCAACAGTTGCAGTAGTTCACAGACTGTCACAGAGATTCTAAAATTTCATCTACTTGCAGTATATTTAATAATATGAAAGCTGAATGCGAGATAAAATTATTTATAAAAATAGGAAAGTTGGTCAAACCTGGCAGAAATATATGTGGTCACTCCATTATGTTTAAAAGTTTGAGGAAAAAATTTCTATTATTAATGGTATAATATGTTATATTTCTAATGTCAAAAATACAATATTTTACTTTTATGTATACATGTTCTGTCTGTGTCCAACAAGCTGTACTGTCACCCTATTTAACATGCATTTTTATAAACTACAGTTTATTTCTCTGTTTAGCCTGGTGCTATAAGCTGCCTCGAAAAAACACCTTTAGCAAATCGCAAAGTAAAGAAAAAAACTATTGATGATCTGAAACGTCAAGTAAGACTAGTATTATTTAAATATGTTCCATAATCATTGTTATACAAAGGAATTTTTTGTGAATGTAACACTTTTTTTTCCCCCCTCTAGAGAGCTTTGTTACAGAAGAGTCTTAGTAAACCAGTGGTCAAGGTTTCTCAAATCACTGAGAGGTATTTCTTTTTCTGATAACTTGATATAAACTACAATCTTTTGTTTTTATTGCTCAAGCTATTTTTCAGCATGCTATTTTCTGCTTAAAATATTACTTGCAACAGTAATATTTTGTAAAAGCAAATCTCAGTTTTTTTATTTGTAGTTTGATTATATATGACATATCTATCTATCTCTCTATATATCTTATATGTGTGTACTTTTACAGTTCCTTTTTCCTTTATTTTCTGTAATTTAAATTGCTAATAATTTTAGTTGGTTTCATTTTTTTTTAAAACTGTGTTGAAATTTGTGTGACTCTCTGGGATAAAATTCCTATGCTTCAATATTTTCTTTCATAAATGTGAAGTGCAAAATTATATATATATATATACAATTAAAGTGAACATCCAGATTTTAACAATAAAAACTGTAATTCCAGCTTTGATTGGGGTGTGCGGAAAAAATGTCACCCGGAAAAAAGGGAAAAGGAAAGAATGTCCCCGGAAAATAAGGAACGGAAAAAATGTCACTCGGAAAATAAGGAACGGAAAAAAAGGAAGCTCTAAAATCTCGCCAAATAATGTCGCCGATTGGAGATGGGGAAACCTGCCAAACGGGCAGGGTTTATACCGGCAGGGCTCTCTTGAGGGAGGTTTTAAGGGGTAAGACGTTGAGCTGGCTGCAGCTGAGCAAGGTCATTTCGACAGCAGGTTTTCCAACTTGCCTGCGGGAAAATCGTATGTTCTCCCCCGTGATTTGCTTCACCCGTTTCCTTAAAGAAACCGACCCACCTCACCCGGAAGGAAAGAATTCACAGGGAGCAAATGTTTCTCCTCTGTTAAATAATGATTGCCGGTCTTTAAACTAAATTTCATCCATCCCTAACTGGAAGCTAACAGCTTGTTCACATTAAAGTGTTGATAAATGACGAATTGTTAGTAAAGACGGCACACGAAAGCTGCTAAACAGAACTATTGGCATAGTATAAGTCTGTTATTTTTTATTACGGTTTAACGAATCTAGCAATAATATTATATTATGCATTCCGTTATTATTTAATCTATCCGTAATATGAAATATAATTTTCTAAACACTAATGGTTTTTCATCAGTTAATTTATAAAACGACAGATATTTTATCGTGTCATTTTTTTTTCCACTTTAACGGTTTATCATTAAGTCCAAAGAGATCCTGGAGGACTATTCTTTTCGTTTTGCGATTTTGCGTTGAATCACTATAAACGGCGAATCACTTTTCAAACTGTTGCCACCAAATGTTAGAGTCCTGCATTATACTCGAAGAAATTAAATAATGCAAAATCTGCATAAATATATGCATATTTCTCGCATTGTGATAAAACAACGGTACATAGTCTCAAAACGACATTTTGCGTGGTTTCACTTTCTGCGTTGATTCACTTTTCAAACTGTTGCTAAAAATATTATTGCCATGCATTATATTGTTACGAATTTGGTATTTAAAAAGCTAATGTTAGTTCAATTATAAATTAAATGGTTTTATTTCTCGCGCAGTGCAGCGCGTGACGAATATTAAAAGAAAGCTAAGCCGGAAAAATTAAAAATACAAGAGCGCGTGCGTTAAATAAATAAATATCTCTTTTTTGATTTCCAGAAAGTACTGGAAAATTCTAGCGCGTGATTTTTAAAATCTTATAAAAGGAGGAAAACATCTCAGTTTGTAGTAGTTGCTTAGTTTGTTTGTTGTTTAGAAAACTGACGTTGTTGATTATAGCGAATTCGCGGATTAGCGTTCTTTAGCTGTTTTGAGTCACGTTCTATTGTACATTTAAGTAGTTAAAAGATAACTACTGTGAGATATTGTGATACTGCATGATAATTTGAGAAAATTTAAGCATTTCTGTTGTGATAATAATAAATTTTTGTTCATATTTCATCGGACTTGTGCATTCATTTCATAACGAACCCGTACGCACGCAACAATTTTTGGTGTCAGGAGTGGGGTTTGAATGCCAATAACAAGAGGGATGGAAGAACAATTGAGACAGCTCATTACTGCTTTTGCTGTTTTCCAAGAAAAGATGGAAGCTGGCCAAACATCTTTTAAAGAAGAAATTAGAAGAAATTAAAGAGAAAATGGATGCTGGTCAAAGGTCCGTTAAAGAAGAAATGAAATTGGGCCAGGAATCCCTCAAGGAAAAAATGAAAACGGCACAGGAACAAATGAAATTGGGCCAGGAATCCGTTAAGGAAGAGATGAAATCTCTTAAAAATGAGATGAAAGCAGGTCAGGACGAAATGAAAAGAGAAATTACCTGCGTAATAAAAATAAATTTGAGGCTATGGAAGGCAGAATAGACGCGGTTGAAATTAAAGTTGGACAAATAGAAGAAAGAGTTTCTTCGGTAAAAGAACAAGTAGAAGAAAGAATTTCTTCTGTAAAAGAACATATAGAAGAGAGAGTTTCTGCCGTCGAACAACAAATTGGTGATAGGGTTTCTGCGGCCGTCGCTAAAGAAGTTGACAGCCTAAAGAAGTGCATAGCGACGGTAGGAAACAATTCTGAAGGTTTCAAATTTTTATCGATGCCTGCTCGTTCCGTTCTGAAACTATCTACATATGATGGGAAGACCTCCTGGCAGGTGTATAGGACACAATTTTCTATCGTTGCGGATGCGAATGGATGGGATTCCCAAGCTAAGGCCTGTCATCTCGCCGCTTCTCTGAGAGCAGACGCAGCGGATATCCTGCAGACGCTTCCCGAAAATCAAAGGCTAGATTTCGAAGCTTTATCCGGCGCTTTGGAGCTGCGCTGCGGCGAGAAATGTTTAAAAGACTACAGCAGGCTCCAATTAAAATCTCGTCAACAGAAGCTCACCGAAACGCTTCAGGAGCTCGCCACGGATGTTGAAAGGCTGTTACATCACGCCTTTTCGGAGTGCCCGACCGAAACAAGGGAAATCCTGTCCCTGCAATATTTCATCGATGGCATCCGAGACCCTGAAATACAGAAAGCACTGCGAATGGCGGATGTTAAAGATCTGAAAAGCGCTTTAGTGTACGCCATGAAATTTGAGGCAGCCCAGCAAGCAACTCGGAGAGATAGCAGGATCGCAGCTCGGAGAACCCAGTCAGAGCTGTGCGAGTCCACGACCCAGGGACCAATTGATGGCTCGTTTAGATGATTTATCCAGACAAGTCGATGCTTTGATACGGAGTAGTAGCAGTGAGAACAAAGTGGCTGTAAGATGTTGGAGATGTGGTTCTGAAGGTCACCTACGACGGCATTGCAGAACACCCCAGGGCACGGATAATAAAACGGATGAGTTGACAAGACCAGTGAATGCTTTAAGACGGAATAGTGGTGAAACAAAACCGACCCTAAAGTGCTGGAATTGCGGTGTTGAAGGCCACCTACGAAGGAACTGCAGAACTCCCCAGAGCACGGAAAATAAGGCATACGATTTAAACAGACAATTAAATGCCATGGGACGGCAAGGAAAAGGACTGACAAGAAACCAAAGTGCTGGAACTGTGGAGCTGAAGGCCACGTACGAAAGAATTGCAGAACACCCCAGGGTACGAAAATTGAGACAATTTCTGAGCAACGACGCAGGAAACAAATTAATGACCATATCAAGAAACGGAGGTTGCCATATAATGAAAAACCCTGTTTTAAAGCGCTTAAGATCTCTATAGTGAGTGGCAACAATAACGGACTGTCCATCAATGGGAATATCGATGGAGTTCCTTGCAATATGATCATTGACACAGGAGCTAATGTTACCATCATTAGGAAAGATTTAGCTGAACAGTTTAAAGATAAACTTATTTGGACGCCATCCTGTGTTACCCTTCAGACTGCGTCTGGTGACAAGATCGACATAACTGGGAAGTTAAACGTAAACATCACGTTTGGAAGTGCCGCCTACCATCACACGGCATATGTGGCGGATATTACAGATCCATGCATACTCAGATTGGACTTTTTAAGGAAATACAATTTTTCCTTAGATTTCAAAAACAATAAGCTGCTTTCAGCATCTGATGTCATGATTATCCATCCTCAAAAGGGATCCTCGCCTGGAAATGTCGACGCCTTGTCCGAAAGATCGAGCTCGGGAAGCTGCCGAAATCATACCAGGGTCGAAAAGAAACTCAAGACTACCAGCTATTCTCCATCCCAGAAGCTCTTCGGTCGAGACCTTCGTCTGCCTTGTGACCGCCTGTTTAGTCGCCCTACGGATGCGCTTTCATCGCCTGAGGAACACATCCAAGATGCCCAGGCCCGGTTTGAGGGGATGCACCGTTCTGCACGAAAGCGAGTCAACTTGGCGACGGAGAAAATGAAGATCAGATGCGACACAAGAGCTACTAGACAGAGATCCAGCAAAGGAGACAAGGTGTGGTTGTGGAACCCAATTCAATGAAAAGGACTGAGTCCTAAATTACAGTCACCTTCGGATGGTCCATATACAGTGCTGAACACGAATGACGTCGTGGTTCGGATCCGTGAGTCTTCGAACTCTTACGACAGGTTAGCTTATTACTATGGCCATAGTACGTAATGTAAATAATTGTAAATAGTATCAGACCATGGTCCTTTTTGTTTATAAATGTGTATTTGATTTGATTTGTATTTAGTATTTGATTTGCATTTAGTATTTGATTCTATTAGATTTGATTTGCATTTAGTATTTGATTTGTATTTAGTATTTGTTTTTAGTATTTGATAGCATTTGATTTGTTTAAGTTAGTTATTGCATTTATTGTTTATATTGTTTGATATTGTAATGTAATGTTTATGCCTCAGTTGCATTTATGCCACAGTTGTAAGTTTAGCTTCCTGTCCAGGGATTGTACTGCCCGGGACGTGCTGTCCTTGGGAAGGGGGCAGTGTTACGAATTTGGTATTTAAAAAGCTAATGTTAGTTCAATTATAAATTAAATGGTTTTATTTCTCGCGCAGTGCAGCGCGTGACGAATATTAAAAGAAAGCTAAGCCGGAAAAATTAAAAATACAAGAGCGCGTGCGTTAA